TAGGATGGCACGACGGATGAAATAGCGAGGCACGACGGATGAGAACAACGACGAACGAAACAGCGACGGTGCGACTAATGAAACGCAAGGCTCAACAAATGAGAGAGAGGTTTTGAAAGAAACTCATGAGTGAGGAAAAGAAAACTGATAGGGATGAAAAAATAAAAATGTGAGACTACTCTTCCGAAGCGCTCAACAACGAGCGCTCTGGAAGATCTGTTCTTTTGGAGCACTCCCCTAAGAGCGCTCCGGAAGAGCGCCTTCTTCTGGAGCGCTTACCTACGAGCGCTTTCAAAAGTCTTTTTAAATTTTTAATATTTTATTTATATTAATTAGGAGCGTTATCTTATTGAGAAGCCTTGCATACAGGAGCGCTTATTTAGAAAAGTGCTTCGGTAAATTCTGCATTTACATTTTAGAGCATTTTTTAATGAAGTGCTCCCAAATACCCACTCCTAAAGATATATTCTATAGTAGTGAATGAGACACAGATGACAAGTGAGAGAGGAGCTTCTGGCGTTCGAAGTGCAAATTGGCAAAATACTAGTAGCCACCAAAATTTCAAGAAAAAATTTGAGAAACCATTTAAAAGAAATAAGGATAGTTTGTAAAATAAAAAAATAAGTTTAGGAGTTGATTGAGTGTGAGGAAGGTGTTAGACATCCTGCAACACTCGTTCGTAAGAATGGTTACTTGAAGTTAATTGTGCTAAATTAATATAGTTTTAAAATTATTTTAATTATCCATTTCTTATTTACATGTTTGATATAAAAATTGATAATACTAAAATGAGAAATATTTATTTATTTGTAAGGAAGGACTTGATCCTGAATCAAAATCTGAGGCTTACGTATCTTGTGGTAAGGATCAAAGTTAATGTAGTTCTAGATTATAAATTTGTTGGTGAAATTTTTTTTTTGAAGAGAAATTAATTAGAAAGAATTCACTATTTTGTAAATAAACAATTTATGAACAGTGTTATTCATACAATAATTATTGAAACCTCATGTCAAGAGGGGATCTCTATATAATATGTCATTTGTCAAATAATTTTAGTTAAAATATGTGTATAATTATATATAATTATCAATCAATACTTTCCAGCAGTTTCCATCATAATGGTGATATCTATGATATTGATAATCCACGATGACACAATGATTAGTTGGTTCTTGTAAAATCTACCATAGTATACTTTATTAGTTCAAATAGAATCATTACACATTTTTTCAATCATGCTAACGGAACTATAATAATAATAATAATAATAATAATAATTGTTTGTTTAGGGAGAATAATACTGCTGGTTTGTAGTTAATTATACGGAGTGTTATAAAATAGTCTCTTCACTTATTTTTGTCATTTTTCTTTTCATGGAAAATTTTCGCCATGGCCATGATGGATAGTCACATTTTACTCATTAATGCAGTAATTGGATTTTTTCCCCCTTCTGTTTTGGTCGTGATAAAAGTGTTTTTTTTTTAAAAAGAAATGTCTTCTGCTAAAAAATTGGATATTCCTGACTGGCTTTACTGGTTTGTTGGCAGTTTGTGGGACCCTCTTAAAAAAAAAAAAAAACATCATTCTCCATCTTTAAGGAAAGATGGTTAATGATAAAAGATACAAAAATCACCAACTAAAATGTAACCAAACTTAGTATCAAAAAAATGTAACCAAACTTAGCTAGATGATTAGCATAAATATTGACTTCCCTGTGTATAAAATTAATGGAGACATTCCAGTCCCTCTTCATTAAGTTAACAGCTTGAGAAAGAATGTGTTGATAGGGATATGAAACTGTTGTTGAGGTATTGTCAAGAGATTTATAGCTTTTACACAATCATAAAAACTTTTGCAAAGGCCCTTTTTTTTTATATTGCGCACATGTTTTTTATTAGATGTTATTTTAGTCAAAACTCATTCATATACTAAATATAATTATGACAACATTTATTAACAGAAATTTAAATTTTAATTCATCGTGTTATGATAGAGCCTTCTGCTTATAAGTTCTATTAGTACACTCTGAGTCTCATATTACTTCTCTTTCCTCAAATGCTCAGCTTTCCTACAAAAGCTCTTTGGTGTAAATATCTGCCTCAATTAATCCATTTTTAATTAATTAAACTAATGCAATTATCCCAATTTCTTTTAATTAATTAAAAAACAATATTTGAAATGTACCGATGACTTCCCAACTACTCCTAAAAATGCTAAAATTACTACTAAATATGGAGAGTAATTAGTGCATTCAAGCGCATCGAACCTTGACATGGCTCACCCAAATAGCTGTGGCAATTTTTTTTCGCTTTGGGCTAATTTCGAAAACTGCCTCGCATGAGTTTTTTTTTTTTTTTTTTTCACATGAGATTGGAGATGATAAACTTCTGTTTTATTTTTATTTTTTTTACAAGAGAGAGAAAATAAATATATGCCAACACAGATTGGATTTAGTGAAAGAGGTTAGTACCTCATGATGTAATGAATTAAAATTTGAATCATTGTTGTGAGATACTTCCTCTTTTAAAAATATAAGGCATTTTTAACTGAATCTCACCCCCAATAAAGCAGTTACTTACTTTCAAATTAATCCTATCTTTTCATATTTACCTTTATTAAATACTCTATAATAAATATAAAGTCATTCATCAATAGGAGCACTTAAAAAAAGAGTAATGATTACACCTTGAAAGACTAAAAATGACTTATATTTTTAAACATCCAACTCTTCAAAAAATGTCTTATATTTTTGAACAAAGAAAGTATATTCGCATTTAATACTAGGCTGTATCTTACATAGAAATTGTCTTTAATAGTAAGATACCTATGAGCAATCAAAAAGAGAAAAGAAAGAAAATAAATACTCCCTATAATTTTATTTATAAGTCACTTATTTTATGTAACCAAAAAAAAATTTAAACTTAATTTATTCTATTTTAAAATTTAATAAGATTTCATTTCTACTCCTAATAAAAATAATAAAAATTATTTTTAATATTTTTTTAACATTTAATTAGGGTAAAAAAGTAAAGATTAATATAAAAAATAATAAATTATCTTATAAATAGGATTATAATTAATCTTATTTTTATCTTATGAATAAGACAAAGGGAGCAAATGATTTATTATTAAGAAGAAGATGAAGAGAGAATGAGTCAATGAGGGCTGCAATATAGTACAAGTCCAATCTTAATGATCTGTAAGGATAAAGACTGCCAACTATAAGACAATATTGAGTCAATGTCAGTACTTTGGAGGGATTATTCATTGGCTTGGAATGAAATCAGAACGCAACCTTAAATTGAAGATTCTCCCAAAATGTCCCTTGTTGACAATTTGGCCTTCTCTTTATCTATAAAGTTAGGAATTAAGGTCGGCTCAATTTTAAGAGTTGATTTTTAAAAAGTTAAGGCATAAAAAGACTGACTTTAATAAATTAGATTATATTTTAAGATTTTATTTTGCCAAGTGATTTGGCCTTGGCCCTTGAGACTAAAAGAAAAATAATAAAATACTTTATAAATATGATCGAAATTAGTTTTTTTCCTACCTTGTAAACAAGACTAAAGAGGAGTAAATAATTTACTATTAAGAAGATGAAGATGAGAACGAGGAATGTAATATAGTACAAGTCCAATCTTAATAATCCATAAGGATAAGACCGCCAACTTTAAGGCAATATTGTGTCAATGTCAATGGCTTTACAGGGATTATTCATTGGCTAGGAATGAAATTGGATTACAACCTCATCTTTGAAGATTCTCGCAAAATGTCCCTCGTTGAAATTTAGCCTTTCTTATATCTTATTTATAGAGCTGGAAATTAAGGTTAGCCCGACACTTGAAAGATTAAGCCCTAAAGAGTCAGCCTTGCTAAATTAAATTATATTTTAGGATTATATTTTGCAAAGCTTAGCTTTAGTTCTCAGGATACTTTATTTTGCAAAGCTTAGCTTTGGCTCTTAGGGCCAAAAGGCCGACTTCATAACCTTGGTCCTAATATATGTTTTTTCTTTTTCAATTTAAAAACCTAATAAACATATTTATAATTCAATAAAAAGTTATTACACATAAAAGATTAAGTTTTGAAAAATAAATTTAAGTAAATTCACATCACAACAAGTATAGCTTAATCATAACCCAAATCCAATGTCGAGTTGGATTCATAGTCGGATGGATGGAAATGAAGATTGGATTGGGATTAGGATTGTGTCAAGTTGTTGGCGTTGCAAGTGGTAGGGAAGCCAAGCTAATGACAGAAGATGATGGTTCTTTTTTTTTTTTTATTGGAATGTCAAGCTATGGAAAAATCGTGCAAGGAAACTAAAATCAAGTCATGTCTAAAGCCATAAGGTTAATACAATCAAATGATAGATTATCTAAAATCATAATATCAAAATTATTTTGGGATGTCTAATGGGCTAGTAAGTCAGCACATCCATTCACTTCTCTATAAATATAAACAAAGGTGATTTTATAATCCTTCATGGTGAGCGGTGGTTCCGTTCAAGATTGAGAGTTTTTGTGGAGGCTGGACTTCTGCTGTCGTGACTCTTGAAGTGGTTGAATCCTTCTCCTTTTTAACTTCATTTCGTGACTGAGAGTCTAAGGTTTCAATCTTTCACATGCACTTTTAATTTTACTTTGTATTTAAAATTGAAATAAAATAAATAGGTCTAAAAAGGACCAGCCATTTTTTTTTGGCTCACTAGGGCTGGCCCTTTAAATTTTTCTGTATATTTGAATAAATGCCTTTCTTCTAATAATATATTCCCTTTTCCATTTTCTTCACACTCATTAAATATATCACGGTCCAAGCGCGCGAGCAGTGGTTTTATATGCAAAGTAGTTAATTATTTTTCTTCATACTTGAATAAATTCCCTTCCTTCTAATATAAATGAGTCACTGTCACGTTTCCTTATTTATAATTTTGTTATATTAAGATAATAAATGAATGGATGTCAGCCAATCAATTGATAATAGATGAGAATCGGAAAATGGCCTATATATACACAATACAAAATTTCTCATATATATGTCTAGCTACTTCTTCCTCTTCAATCAACTGACGTTCAAAATGAAGGTCGCTGATCATCCTCGTCATGGACAATGGACCACAGGTTTATGTGGATGCTTTGAAGATCCTGGAAACTGTAAAGTTCTCTCTCTCTCTCTCTCCCTCCCCCCTCTATACGAACTCACAGTCAATTCATTATAATTCAAGTGTGTCTTAACGTTGTTGATTGTTTTTCATTCTGTTGAAGGCTGCATGACCTGTTGCTGTCCATGCATTACCTTTGGTGAAAGTGCTGAAGTCATAGACAAAGGAAATACATGTGAGTGATCAGAAATTATAACCTTAATTATAGAGAAGTTGATCATATTACTCTTATTATTATCGTGTATATTTGCAGCTTGTGCGTGCGCTGGTTTAGTGTTCTATGCTCTGTCGTACGTGGGATGTGTGGGCTTGTATTCGTGCACGTACAGAAGAAAACTGAGAGGCCTTTTTAACTTACCAGAAGAGCCATGCAGTGATCGCTGCATTCACTGCTGTTGCACTTCTTGTGCTATTTGCCAAGAGTATAGAGAGCTCAGAAACCGTGGAATCGACCCCTCCTTAGGTATATATATATATATATCTCTCTCTCTCTCTCTATCTCTATCTCTATCTCTCTCTCTCACAAACACACACACTTCCTTTTTTTTTTCACTAGTTAGAAAGAGAAAGGCAAAGTGAGGGAAAAACTGAAGTGTGAGATCTACCATATTTTCTCTCTAACTTTTAGAGTGATTTTGGGAGTAGACGTAACTTTTAAAAGGACATAAAGACTACAGAAAAAAGGACTAAAAATTTATGGTAAAAGACCAAAAAATTATAGATAAAGATCTAAAAAATTATAAAAAATGATCAAGAATTAAATTGATCATTTTTTATAATTTTTTATGTCTTTTTCTGGTCAACTAATACTTAAAGCTTATTGTTATTAACAATAGTAGCTAGATTATATCATTTTCAAAAGTTTAAAAAAATATTACATAAAAAATGAGTTTAAAGTCCTAAATGTTTCTGAACTTATAGTATAGGGGTCAATTTGCTCATTTACATTAAAAATATGTAACTTTCCAATTCTATTCTTCTTTACGATTAATAATTATAATAAATTATACTCTACGAATTCAAGTGATAATAAATAAACAAGGGGTAAAATTAGAAAAAAAAATGAATTACTCTAATTTTGCTTATTTTAAGGATGAGAAGGATTATACTTATTAAATACATTATATAAATGCATTAATAATTACAATTGAAATCTTAATTGACCATCTTTTTAAAAGAAATAATAAATAAATTACGGATGCAGTTGAAAAAAGCTATAAAAACTATTTAATGCCTTATAACAAAGCTTAGCTTGTGAAAAATGTCTTATATTGTAGTTCTAAAGAGAATATGTGTATATATGTTTCTTTGTTTGTTTGTTTGTTTTTTTTATACAATGTGTGTATATGTTTCTACTCCTCTGTAAATATATACCTTCTAGTTTATCCTCTAAAAAGAAATAATATGTGCTTGTTTATTTTAATCCTTAAAATAGCATTTCATGTTTGATATATATATATATATCATTCTCTTGGTGAGTTCATAGTTAAAATGACCGAGTCTGTTGCAGGGAATATAATTAGATTGATGTCCTTGTATACATATTGTCCGAATAAATAATAACTCTCTTATCTTGCAATTCTGAACCTCTCTATTTATAAGGTGAAAATATATAGAGAAAAAATATAAAAATATATATGAGTATAAAGATGAACGCTTGAAGTGTATAAACACACTTGTATTATTTTAATTTGTAACACTTCTATTGCATGACTTTATGGATATATGTACTAGGTATATGAGTAAAATATACTGATCTCCTTTATATTTTACCTTGATTATAAATATCTTCCTTTTATTTTTGAACCTATATTAACTTCTCCTAGTATAAATAGTTACAAAACACAAGCATCTTCTTTATTTTTAAAATTTTATTTTTATCCACCTGACCATTAGTTAAATCGTTAAGTCATATATATTATATCAATATATCTATCTTTAAACATACATGTTGTCTAAAAATCATTCAAAATACCAAAAAAAAAAGTGCATATAGATTTTAAACTTTTTTATAATTTTAAATTTTATTTATGTGAACATATCTATTTTGCAATATTTTTATAACTAATTTCTTATCCATAGAATTTGCAATTCCGTCCCTATTCGCTAATTTTCTATGGAATAGCGATAAATATTTTCCGTCACTAAATAAGGATAAAGTTATTCTAACTTTTGTTACGCAATGCAGTCTACCGCTAATTTTTCAACAAGCTTATTCAGTCACAAATATATTAGGTGGACCAAAATATCATTGCGACGTCACTTGGTGGATCAATGCCACCTCACTGCCATGTCATCGCCACATCCTAGTTATCCAGTGGACCACTGCCACGTCACTGCCATGTCACTACCGCATCATTTGTCACTACCATATCAAATATTATCACCTTCAATTGTGTTTTGGTTAAGTTTGAACTTGTAACCCCATACTCTCATGTGCCTTTGCATCTACCTTGTTGCCAGTTGAGCTAAAAGGAACATTTAGTCTTAATTAACAAATTAAATATATAATACTAAACCACACAAACATATATTAATAAATATATTATTTAAATTATTATTACATATAGTATTTAAATTTACTTATTTTTTAACATTATATTTATTTATTAATATGGAAAAATTAATTTCTATATAATAATTATTTCTATTATATTTTATTTTAAAAAAGTAATTTTGATAATAAATTTAATATAAAATTGAAAAATAATTTATTATCATTATATATTATATTATAATTTGTATCTATATAATATATAATATTTTAAATTTTTATTTTATAATTATTTTATTTTATTTTTATTTTTAAATAAGAATAATTAAGTATACAATTTAAATTATTATTAATAATATAAAAATAATTGAAAATAATAAATTATTTTAAATTATAATTTTAAATTATTTATTTATAGCATAATAATAAATTATTAAATAAATTATATATAAATATATATTATAAATAATAAAATTAAATTAAAAATAATTTATGATGGAATTAGCGATGGAATTATGACAGAAAGTTTTGTGATGGAATTTTCTGTCTCAAATTCCATCACTAAATCAGAATAAGATATTCTAACTATTAATGATGGAATTTTTTGTCAGTAAATTATTTTTGACCGATTAGCAATGAGATAATGATAAAATTTTAATGATAGAATATTCTACAGCTAATCTGCTGGTTTTTTTTTTTTTTGGTAATGGTATATATATTTTGACAAGTTCTAATCCCTGTAAGCGACACATGTATACACAGGTTGGGCTGAGAATGAAGAAAAAATGAACAGGGCCACTCAAGTGCCTCCAAGCGTGGGACCATACATGACTCGCTAGAAATTTCTGCGCGCGCGTGTAATTCCTTTAGTATCTTTCTTCTGTGTGCGAAGTGCATGATTAAGTACGTTGGATTTGTATTAATATAAATAAAATATACCATGATATATTACGGCAAGATTGAGAAAATGTCAAATAGTTTTTTAGAATATCAAATTTTTCCTACTTACATGCAAATAATAAAATTTTTAATCAAGGAAAATAAGACACAAAAATTTCAGTAATCAATTCTAATATGCCATAGTATATGCTATGCAACCAATAATGCAATTGACAAAACAATTTTCAAACAAGTTAATTCAAACAAGTTTCAAACATAAACAAACAAAATATGTAAGACTATTACTTTATCTTTTCTTTTTTTTAAAACTGAAATTCATAGTTGACACCTAACTCACCTAATCAAAGGTAAACTTGTTCAAGCTATAAAATGTCACTCATGAATTAGATGATGGTATACTATGTGGTATAATTTATTTTCAAATAATAAATCTTCCAAATAACCTTCCCCAACCAAACAATTCATGCATATATGATTTCCAAATAGTTATGAATTTCAAACAATATTACATACTTCTAAAAATGAAATTTTCACACTAAACATAAATATATATCAGTTTTTTTTTTATCCCACTTGCAATATAATTTTGGAAGCAATAATTATACATTTTCAAAGCATATATTATCAACTAACACTAAATTTTTAAAAAAAATGCATACAACCAATCACACAATATACATTACAATATAGTAGTAGAAGTTACCTTTACTTTTAATAAGCAAGTTTTTTCAAGTGAGTTATCACCACTAACAATGCTAATGCTATGCTCTATATAATATTTAATATTAAACATAATTAATATTGCTGATTAAATACTATTCTCAACATAATCCTATGGTTAAATTAATTACACTCATTAAACCAACGCCCTTTCATATACTTTAAATTTTAAAAATTAATCATCTTTATTATTAATTCACTGTTAATACACTCATTTAATATCCCATTAACATAATTAACCTCTTGGGAGCTTTAATTTAGCATTGAATAAAACCCAAAAATCAAGATCGTGCCTCAAGCTACAAACCATCATCCCAATACCTTACAAATATTTTTTTTAGCTCAAATAAACTTCTAATCATCATAAAGAAATCTCAATTTTCTCTAAACTTTATTTTCTTAAAAAATTTCAAATCACTACTACAAATAAATTTCTCTATTCCAATTACATTTTCATAATTTAATAACCTCATTTCACTCATTAAAGCTATTAAAAATAATAATTTTCTCAAGTCATCCTTAATCTTAAAATTCTTAACATTTACAATACCTACAAAAACTACTAATGTTCACATTCAATAACAAACCTAAAAAATCAATCTATTTGGTCATCAATATAACCTCGATTAACTCAAAATAAACCATTAAATTTGAGATGTCATTACCAAAATCCTAAATCACAAATTTTCAACTAAACCCTAACTTTAATTCCTCAAATCAACTAATTGGGCAAAATCCACATCATATAAATTCTTATTCCACATCATTAACTCCATTAAAAACTAAATAATCAACTGAAATATCCAAAAGCTCAAAACTTATCAAATTTTAGATGCTTAACTATCAAGAAATTAGAAACCAAAGAGGATAAGTAATTAAGAAAAAAAAAATTGAAACACTTGTATGGCTTTGACAAGCGCCAAATCACATCCAATTATATTTTATTATGAAACCCAGCTCCCAACTCTCTCTTACTCTCGCTCTTACGCTGCGCGGGAGATGAAGAAAAAGATTGATGGACCGAGAAGCGAATGGGGGTGGGTGTTTGCCTTGTTCCATGGTAGTGTGGGCCTCGTGCATTTTTTTTAGTGTCATCATTGTTTGTTATTTTTTTCACCTCTTACTTTCTTTGTTTATTATTTTTGTCTATTAATCTTTATATATAATTTTTTTTTACTTACCTGAAATCTTGCATGAACTCAAATCCTCAGTTGATTTTTAGTAACATTTTTTTATAAAATTCCAACACTTCCATAAAATTCAAATGAATGAACTTAATTTCTATATTTTGTTTAAATATAAATTTTCATATTATTTAGGTAATGATGATATCCTAGGTAGAGAAATAATTTATATAATTTTGTTTGATTTCATGTAGCCTTTGTTTATTTCCAATTTTTTTATAATCATTGCTTGATACTCATCTTTAAAATTTAATTCTTCTGGGACAAGTTTTCTTTTCTCAAATAATTATCTAGTAATTTGTAATTATGCCATAAAATAATCTCATCAAATATAAATCAATACTTATAAATATTTATCACCTCCAATTTACTCAATAGATCAATTTCTAACATTGCTTAAATTCTAAACCAAAATTAGAATAATATAACAGTTGTTCACTCCTTACAAAAATTTTGTCCTCAAAATTTAAACTACCTAAACTAACACCCTTAAAAATTTTCTCAACTCACCTCCACTGAAGATTCTCAAGCATGGTTTCCCATCTTAACTCCATGTCCCCTCTTAAATAAGAATTATTATTATTTTTCTCATGATTTTCTTGCCATTTTCCCATCTTAACATGGTCCTATTTGCTAGCCTTGATTTTCATATACCTATATCATCAATCCAGGGTTGCAAATACCACGACACAGACTCTATTATATCTTTAGCACCATTGTACAAACATCACTCTCCAATCTATATATATATATATATATGTGTGTGTGTGTGTGTGTGTGTGTTTTGATCCTTACACAAAACCAGTCCTCACAATGTCATTTTATTGATCAGTGTTTACCCCTTAGAAACTCCTAGTGATTGTTCCTGAAATCTCCTTATTCCTCAAATAAAAATCACCACAAATTAAACCCAACCATACATACATATGCATATAAAATACTTTCTCTGAAAGACTAATACATCCTTAGTTTGATCTTTTCTCATTACTTTCAAATGCAAAATTTTCCTAATTCTGCGAAAACATCCGTCCGAGCCAGTTTAATAACTACAACATTTTTCAAGCCTCAAATAAACACCACAAATTACCTCCTCACCCTTAGCATCATTTACTTGAACAGTGACTTATTTTAAAAAATCTTCCAACTACATTTTCCAATAAATATACAATCGGTGAGTCTCTTGACATATGAAGAAATAAAACTTCAAAATCCTTTCAAAGGAGTCTTTCCTCTTTTTTTGTCCCCTTTCTGAGATAATCAGGGAAGACGTCAGTTACATTATCTAGGAAAACTAGCATTTACTCGCACAGGAGCATTTAATTACATGTAATATTTTTAAAGTATTATTTTTAATTTTTATAAGAGATGTTTTACATTCTATAAAAAAGAAAAAAGAAAACATCAACTTTTTAAAATTTATATGACATAAGTATGGCGCAATCAATAATAATAATAATAATAATAATAATAATAATGATAATGATAATGATAATGATAATAATAATATTTCTGATTTTATTCAATAAGCAATAAACATGACAGTAGCTAAATTCTTTGATTTGTTACCATTTTTAGTTTACTTAGGACATTCTGTAATATCTAAACTATACAAAATCAATTAAAAAAATTCTTAGCTTGATATAGCTATCTACTAATATTGAAACCATTCATGCATTAACATAACAAGTGTGTGTGTATTGAATAAAAGTGACACCATCAATTCCAACAATCAAAGAGCAATAACATTACAAGTCTCATTGTCTTCCCTGATTATTTAAAACACAAAAATTGAAAGGAGTAATCAAGCGATTGGATTTAAAACACAATAATTTGTTGGAAGTGTGTGTGTTTTTTATTGTCCTAAAATCTTCCCCCTTTAGTTCGCAGACATCTTTATTTGCACACAAATTTTAAGTTCAGAGAGATTGAGTTTGGATTTATACTTGATTTAATCCTCCAATAAATCCCCAAACACCTCAATGTAAAAAAAAAAAAAAAATTGAAATGTATGGAAAAAGTATACCCTTAAACTTTTACCCCTTGTTGGTGGCACCAGTAGTGTAGACGTAAACGACGAGTTGCTTGAGTCGTGCCTAAAAGGACACTATCCTTAAGACTATTTCGGCACATCGGGATGATGGATTGGCAATTTGTCAGGATTAAACAAGCACTTCCT